TAGTAATTTTATATATATTGAGTTTTTTGTACTTACATTTATATTTTTCAATGAAAAAAGAGCTTAAAATATTATCTTTAGCTTAACTCAATATTTTTTCATGCAACACTTTAATCAAATTAATTAACTTCTAGTCCTATTTCCGGTCTATACCAATGCAATCTGTATAAGTATATGCATATACTCGTCTACCAATATTATTTATAGCCATTGTAAATCGGCACTCGGATTTAAACGGAATAAATACGTATATATAGTGCTCTTATCAGACTCTATTGAAGCAATCCGATGAGGCACGCTCACTTAGCATTGATTTAAAGTGTCATGATTTATATAGAAGAAATTGCGAATATTATAATTTATATTGTGTTTTTGTCGTGCTATTCATACAAAGTTTTCCATGACGTTAAGCCTCCAAATCGAACGATCATGAGCATGCTAAGCCAATTAAAGCTTAAAATCAGCTTTACGAATTTGAACATTTTGATTGTTTCTATACTTCTCGAGATAATCCAAAATCAAAAGTAAATACAAAATTGAAGAACATGGTGAAGGTCGTTGTCGATGCTCCACTGCGGAAAGAATTCATAAAAACTGGTCTAAGAGCATTAGCGTTTGACATTTTACAGTTAAGCATATTCAGCTAATTATATTTGTATGTATCTTCTTCTTCTTCTTTTTAATTAAATGAAACAAATATAGCCGCTAAACATCTCACAGACTTTAGGAATATGTTGAACAAGTTTTGTTTTTATATCTCTCGATAAGATACAGGTCTGTGCACATTAAATAAAACTCGACAGGTGGGCGTGGCCGGGCTAGACTGTTGCTAGACATGTCATGCGATAAGTTAACCGGCGAGGTGCGGAACCGGGGCGTACTTCCCATTGATAACGTTGACTGTTGAACGTTATTTTATTTTTTATTGTTTTATTATAAGTAAGCAGCTTTCTCGGCCCACGTTGACTGGGCTGACTGCAGTTTTTTAGCGGCTTTTGTTGACATCAGCTTTTACAACAACAAAAAAAAGGAGAAAAATGAAAAAAAAAATATGCACACGCGCAAATGCTGCAAATTAAAGTTGGACGCCTCTGCGACCCGGAGTTCAATGGCATTCCAAATTAATGCCGTTTATTATTAACATAGTGTAAGCCAGATGTAAAGCGGGTATTGCTGGAACTTAAGGGATTTGAAAGCAAAACGTAAAGCATTGTTATTTAAGCCAATATGATTCTGAAAGAATTTTTATAGATTTTTGTATGTACGTAGTTCGTATGTAAAGTTTGACATAATCGAGAATTTTCCGAAATTTTCATTCATGTGTTATTTTTTACATTTGACGCAAATTATTCCCGAATGAATTATTGTTATAATAACCCTGATTTTTTTATTTTTTTTTTACTTACACTTATTCGCAATATTTACAGTTGAAATTTCAACTGCGTAACATTTTCACTACCATGGTTTCGGAGATACCGAAAAATGTTTTGTTTTTCGACTTATATTGCTTGAGAGAGGAAACTTTAATATTAATTAATTTGACGCCTTATAAAAGTTCTCTCTTATCTCTACCATTTCATATGCAACTCATGCATATTTTACAGAGTATTCAAACTTCGTTCAATTCCAATTTCATTTATCTTGCACCTTCCGCCTTTTCCTTGCGGCTCAATGCACTTTGGTTATATTTCATTTTGCTAATAACTAACGAGGTGGGGGAAAAAACGAAACGTGCGAACCGCTTTGCAATTGACAATGATAATCATCATGTTAAATGAGTTTATCAGCATGTTAAGTGTGTTTGACATGATGATAAAGTGGACGACGTCTGAATCAGCTAAAAGGAGAAATGTGTGTAATTTAATGGCCTTTAATTTGTTTCTTTTTACGGGCGGAGCACCCAACTGGTACCTGTTGTCTGGCCAAATCAAATTGATGTGCGATTTTGTATGGTTATTAACGTTGTATTGAGGTCAAATACTGACAGTTAGATTGCAAATGAGTTTTATCGCATCATTAATTCAAGTTAATAAATGCGCTTATCTGTAAAGCAACGCCGAAGCCGCGAGACATGTAATGAAAACAACGTATTACATCAGTCTTGTAAACAATGTACGATAGTTCCAGGTTAACTTATCTAAAGACTCTTAAGCAAAATATAAATTTATATAAAATAGTAATAAAATCATTCAGAAACCTGTTCCATTGAATTGTAAACCGGTTCACACCAGCTCTCCTGATATGCTTGACTGAACGAACTTCCGATCCTCGATTTGTTTTGATAGCTCCCCAGCATTTCTTATCATCTCTTAACAATTTTTTTCAGAGCTCTAGGAACTTTTCCATACACGCGCCATCAGGTCAAATATATAACGTCTAAATTTGTTGTATATACGCATTATATGTACATATATTTTGATAATATTCTGACCATCCAAAACTCAGCTGAGATTTATTGCTCTAGAAGCTTTTGCGAATGACCTTCACATTTAGCAGACTGAATTGATCTCAAAATCAAAAGTTGTAGAATATTAATTATTTAAATTTTTGTTTTATTTATTTTTTATATGCGCTTATATTTGTTAATTAAGATTTAACTAATTTAAATTTTTATTTAGTTTTATAATATTTTAATTATAAATGTTAGCTTAGCAACAGTGCTGCCCAATTCATTTTCTGTTTCCAATCAAACTCAAAGTGCTGCCCATTTCTATTAAGCCTGCCTTAACAAACTGTGAACTGTAGTTCAGTTCTCTTTGAGCCAGTTCCAGAAGTGATAAAGAAATGTTTATTGAAATTGTAAATGGGCATTTTTTAATTAAATATACTATTTTTGACTATATATTTTAACATTGCTCACTAATTTATTTTTGTAACTATTTTTGCTCTCTTGCAGATATGCTATCATGCCGTCAAGTCTTGAATCTGCTGACAATGCTTGGCTTTATGCTGAACTATGCGCTTCGAGGTAAGTCTTCCATATATATCTCTTTCCCAATACATACTAATTACCTGAATATTTCCCTAACCTTAGTCAACCTAACCATTGCCATTGTGGACATGGTTATGCCAAACATCACATCACACATGGCAGGCAATTCCAGCCTAGTAGACAACACTACTCTGACGGGGAGTATCAGCAGTAGCAGCAGCAGTGAGGGTATCCTCAGCAACGCCACAACCAGCGATGGCGTTGCTGTCCTCGAGGAGCGCTTTCCGTGGGACACATACCAAACCAACTTCGTGCTTGGCTGCTTCTTCTGGGGCTATGTCCTCACCGAGCTGCCCGGCGGTCGTCTGGCTGAACTGATTGGCGGTCGTCGCGTTTTTGGCCATTCCATGCTCTGGGCCAGTCTGTTGACCCTGATAACGCCGCTGGCGGCGCATTTGAGCTACGTTATGTTGATTGTGGTGCGTGTGGCACTTGGCTTCATGCTGGGCGCCTCCTGGCCGGCCATACATCCCGTGGCCGCTGTCTGGATTCCACCCATGGATCGCTCCAAGTTCATGTCCAACATGATGGGTGAGTAGAGGCAAACGATTTGTCACGTTTTTTTTTTTTTTTTATTTCCAATTTGTTCTGTATTTTAAACCTTTCCTTTACCTTTACAGCCTCTTCGCTTGGCGCTGCCATTACGATGCCCATCTGTGGCTATTTGATCTCGGTCTGCGGCTGGGCCAGTGTCTTCTATTTGACGGGCGCTGTGGGTTTGCTGTGGTCTGTGTGCTGGTTCACATTTGTCTATGAGACGCCCGCCACACATCCGCGCATCTCGGCCGAGGAGCGACGCGAAATCGAGGATGCCATCGGCACATCCACATCCAAGAAGCGACCCAGTTATGTGCCCTGGGGTCAGCTGCTCTGCTCGCCTGCAGTTTGGGCTATCATAATAACCCACGGTCTGTCCGTGTTCGGTTTCTTCACGGTCATCAATCAGCTGCCCACTTTTATGTCCAAGATTCTGCACTTTGACATCAAGAAGGTGAGTCTTTAAGGTTAATTTTATACAGTTTGAATTTGATGCCAATAGAATTTTCCTTTGTGTTGCAGAATGGTTTGTTCTCCTCGCTGCCCTATCTAGGCAAATATGTGATGGCGGTGGCCTCCTCCTATCTGGCCGACTATCTGCGTCAGAAGGGCACCTTGAGCACGACTGCGACACGCAAGATCTTCACGACTTTCGGTAGGTTTTATAATGTAATCTTAATGTCGAAGATTACATATTTATTTTTATAATACTTTATAGCTCTCGTTACACCTGGTCTGCTGATGACGGCTCAGGTTTTCCTGGGCATGGATGCTGCCTGGTCGGTGGCCATCTTTACACTCGCCCTGTTCGCCCATGGCGCTGTCACCGCTGGCTATTTGGGCAACGGTCTGGACATTGCACCCAACTTTAGTGGCACCATTTTTGGCATGGCCAATTCCTTGTCTTCCTTTGGTGGCTTCTTGTCCACTTGGATGGTCGGCGCGCTGACCTTTGAAAATGTAAGTCAATTATAATAATTGAATACATATGAATATAATCTAATTATATGAACTTATTTCTTGTCATTCTTAGCCCTCGTTCCATCAATGGCAAATTGTATTTTGGATTTTGGCCGGCACCTACATCTCGGCCGCTGTTGTCTTTGTCATCCTGGGCACTGGTGAGCTGCAGTCCTGGAATAATCCACCAGAGCGCAAAAAGATTGGTGATGTGGCCCAAGAGGAAGGCATGCCGCTCAAGAACGAAAAATAATCAAATGAGATCATTCGAGCTGAGCCAGAGAGAAAAACCCACCACATCCGCACAAGTTATAGTAGTTTCTACCGCACAAGATTGAGATTTACGGTCACATACAGAATTTCCACTTTAAAAAGATTGTATACTAAAGAAAAACCGGAAGACATTAGTTTGTAGCCAAGCTGTAAAGTTTCTATGCATAGAATGATATACGAATAATGGCTTGCCCATGTAGCCAGAATAAGTAATATTTACTTAAGACTTAAATGTTTAGAGCTCACATGCATTAATTTGTAGGCGTGGCAGTTTAGCAAATTTTTTATTGCTCTTAAGCCGCAAAATTATTCTAATTACACTTATGTATATATTTAATTGATTGTGTGTATGTTCATGTCGTGCGCAGAAATTTCAAAGTGTACAAAAGTAAAATGGTAGAAAAAAAAATATTGGAATTTCGATGCACAACATTTTCTATTAAATTATTTAAGTAGACTTTTTGCATACCTATGTACTCGTATTAGCTAATTATATTATATGCACACTTAAGCTAAGTCTATTATTTCATGTATAATTTTATTATTTATGCAATTTATTTATAGACTCTTCTATATTCATAATAAAGTTTATCGCAGTCAAGAAGAGTATTAATATTTGAATTCCGATTTTGGCGGCTCAGGGAATGACAAAATATCGATATAATGCTTAAAGCTGCTCTCAGAAAGAAACTATCGATATCTCTTTGCCAGAAACTAAATTTTTATGCAGCTATGTTGTTATAAGTAAATAAAGGCAAAATAATGCCCCTCAAGTTTTTTTTTTTTTTTTTAATTAATTTTAGTGGCGTTTAATTTTTAATGTTTTTAAATTCTCCAAAATAAATAAATCATACTTTGAATTCATTATGAACAGCTGTTAAAAGCTTATTTATAAATGATACCGATAGTACACATCGAGCCAAAATTCATCATTAAAGGGAATCGCTATTCGACCGCAATTTCGTTTTTGGATTGAAATTTAGTCTAAATTTATCTTAAAAGACCTGTAAATATTGTAAAGATCGTAAATTAATATAACGTTAATTTTTCACTGGAGGTAAATAAACTACATATACGTAGCTTTATTTTCCATTTTACTTCTTGATTGATATTTCGTTTTAAATTTAATTAATATTGTTAAATGTTAAACGTCAAAAAGCTTAGTGCTATAAGTCCATGATCAAGCTTTGTGTATTTTCCACCAGCAGGGTCACTTATGACGTCATAAACTACACTCGCGTTTCTTGTTGCCTCTTCCATTGTCGCTCAGCTGGTTTGACAGCCCCCACTCTCGTGCTCACCCACTCACTCTCTGATACCGCACTCTTGCTTTTCGTTTTGGACAAAACGTTCATATCAGACCACGAACTGAAGCCTATTGAAAAGCAAATCATCAACGCAGCCGATAGCTCTAACATTTACGATGAAGGGATGACGTGCAGACGACACTAAGCAACTTGAGCAGGTAAGTAAGTAAGTTGGTGGGGTACTGTGCACAATGTGCCGTTTTATAGTGGAATTTAATAGAAAGCCACGCTGTCTGTGCTGTGCGTATGTGTGTGTGTACATGAATGTACATGTGTGTGGAGGGTGCGCGTCGCGACTTGACATTGAAAAGTTAATTGCATTAGATGTCTAGAGAAATGTCTATTGGGTTGCCTTTTTTGCAAGTTACGTACAAATATACAATAGACCGAGAGCGAGAAAGAGAAAACGAAGAGAGCGCACCACCAGCATCCCAGCCCTGAGCGTTGTGGATTTTGTAGTTGGCGTAAAAGCGCTTACAATAGCAACAATTTCGCACGCACACATACACAGGCTCAGATATGTGTGCACATGTATATGTATATACATACATAAATAAGTAGCCTTGTATGCACGTTGGCACGTTCTCTCATTGCTCAACCTCACATTCTCTCAGTGTCTTTCACTCTCTCTCTCTCTATCTATTGCTTGCGCTTGTTTTGTCAATTCTCCAAAAACGCGTCGCGTGCTCTAACAAACACCTACCACCCCAACCAGCACGCGGCGCGCCTGTCGCTGCTGGTGCTGCCGCAACCGTAGCCTCTGCTGCCGTCGCTGTTGAATTGTAGTACAAAGCAGCAGCCCCATTCATCGTTCGACACTCGCTGCTGCTGCTGCTATTTTGTTGTCCAGAGTCCGGATCATAGTTTTTGATTCGCATTTCGCAAGCTTCTTCTCGGAGGAGCATTCCACAAGCCCACTCAAATCAACCCACCTACCCACGCATCTGGAAAATTAACAACAAAAAGCTTTGTTTTCAAATTGAAAATTTTCATAATTTCGTGGAAGAAGCGACTCAAGTAAGTTGGGAAAATTTTGATATATTTGCCAAACGGTTTTCGCGTGCAGCACGCATTGCGGTTGTACATGAGTACTAGTGTGCTTGCATGCGCGAGTGTGTATGTACATATGTATGTGTGTATGGAAAAAGTGTAAAGAAATCCTTGCGAAGTTGCAAGCCAAATGCTAAATTTAGATCTGAAGCCAACAAGGCTGCACCACGCAGTCGTCGTTACTGCTGATAGTGCTCGTGTTGCCTGGCGGCCCCCCACAGCCAAAACACCCACACCACAAACCGTATGCATATATTCATACGTCAGTCGCTCTCGCTCGCTCACTGCGTGAGGCGCTGTGCATAAGTGCATGCGTGTGCGTGCATGTATGTGTGTGTGTACAGTATGAATGGAACAAAAGTACTTGGCGACGCAACACCAACAACAGCAACATCAATGCGGAATCGATAGTCAGACGACGACGTGGTCGAGCAGTAGGAGGTGAGCGAAGCTCTGCTCCGGATAAAACGACGGCTGCAAAGACGTTTACGTTTTACTGTCGGTCGCTCCCCTCCACTGCACTTGTCAGTGTGCCTCTGTGTGAATAATTGTGTATGTGTGTTTGTGTGTCTGTGCTCGTGGGGCACGTAGACATCATCGTAGTATTTTCCGCGTAAATTGCAAGCAAATTGAATGTGATAGAAACGTGTATCCCGTTCAACTAACAACGAAAGGCAATCGAACATGTCATCCATATTTCTGTCCATCTTTCTTTTCATGTAATGTTTCCACATTTTTATCGCAAATAATTTTTGTCTTATATCAACTTTTGCACGCTTTGGTATTTTTTCTTATGCTACTGTTTTTTGTTTTTTTGTTGCATTGCTCCTCGCTGACTGCCATTACTACTGCTGCCGCTGCTGCTTCTTCTTCTTCTTCTGCCCATAAATACTATGTACTACGAGCATGCTGCCAAACTCGCTGCATTTCCACAACCGAAGCTCCGTCGAAGGCGCACGAAGTGGCACGAGTTGTGCGCGCATGTTTGGCCCCAAGTCCACACCCCGCAGACCTATTCACACACTCGCACACATATACAGAGCAACTCAGCCAGTCATCCAGTGCAAAAAGCTTACACACACATATATATATATATATACACAAGCACACACACATACACATAGGCGTACAAAAATTGCAAGTGAGAGCGCAGCGACAGCAGCCTCTGTCGGTGGAGCAGAGTTCCAGCGCCAGCGCAGAGATTTTTTGGCCATAATTTTTCAGTTTGAGCACAGCGCTAGCCGGTGACGGGTGATGATAGTAATACGTAGTAATAAGTCGGCGAGCCGAAAAGTCTGCCATAGAGAGAATTGCAGCAACTGAAAAAATGCAACTGCTTGCAAATGTTGTGCAAAGCAAGTGACCAAACAGCTAAAAAAAGTGAATCAATACGCATAAGTGTAAACTAAGTCAGCAGCCACATTATTATTTTACACTAGCCAGAACTCTTTTCCTGCTTTTTTGTTGTTTTTTTTTTTCTCTTGAAAGTGCAGCCGACTGCTGTCTGGTCGTGGGATCCTGTTGAAGAACTTTTGCTTCCGCAAATACGAGACCGAAAATCGATAATTTCGTGCTGTATAAGTTACGGCGAAAGGTGCACGTTCGCTCGGCTCGGCTTGGTTCGGTTCGGTTCGGTTCGGTTCAGCTCGGCTCTTGGCACGAATAAACATATACATATGTAAAGTGGCAACCTTCTTATTCTTGCTTTTGTTGCCGTTGTTGCTGTGGGTGGTGCAAAAGCAGTGTAGATTACAACAAAACGTCGCGCATGAAACGTGATTGAAATTATTGCACAAAAAGGAAACGGCGCTTACACGCGCCAAACAGGCGCGCGTAGGCGGCAACAGTGAACGAACGAGAAAGAGACATCGAGAAAGAACGAGTGTCAGAGAGGTAGAGAGAAAGAGCAAGGGTTAGCTTAAGCGAGTGAGTGAGCGCGCAATCGAGCTCTCGCGTAAATCAGGAAGCAAAGTAAAGCAAAAAATAACAAACAAAAATACATATACTAATGGCGAATAAATAGAAACCGAAAACGAGTGTAAAACGTAACAGCACAAAAAGTACTAGCATGTAGTAATAGTGGAAATTAGAGTGAGAGGACCCCACGGACACCCAACACACACACACATTCAGAAACGTACAAAGGTGTTGGAAAGGGGGCGTCGCAGTCGCTGTCGCAGCTGACGCCGACGTTATCGTAGTAGTAAGTTTTTCTGTGTTGCGGGTGCAGCGTCGCGTAAACACGCTCTAGTGCGCGAGTGTGCGAGTGCGTGTGGAATGTGTAATAAATAAAACAAAGCACATAGCAAAAAATCATGATAAAGTTTGTCAGGCACAAAAATCGTGAGAATTCATTAAAGGCATCGAAAAATTTTCTGCGTAAAAAGGTGGGCGCCAAACGCACAAATAAATATGTACATGTTATACAAAAATAATAATGAAAGTACAATACATAATAATATATTAATTAGTAGTTAACTAACAAATAAAATATGAAAAATTGTTTAATAATTTATTTAATGTGCTTACAGCGTGAATCGAATGACTCTGGCACCGAATCTGATGGTGAACTCCTCGATGTGGAAAACAAACGTCACTTAGACGTGGATATGGAAACTAGTAAGTAAATGAATTGAATAAGTAAGGATAAAAATGCTCGTTTGAAAATTAAAACTAGAATCTTCTCAATATAAATATCAATATCGACCGGCATTTGATTACATATGTTTTAAAGACTGAAGACAATAAGAACTCGATT